GAATGTTCATGTTACACAAGTACAGATAACATTGTGCATGATACGCCATTACAGAACTACAACTGTATGAATCACCGGTACAGACTGTGCCTGTTTGAAATACACATGTACTGAATGTTCATGTTACACAAGTACAGATAACATTGTGCATGATACGCCATTACAGACAACAACTGTATGAATCACCGGTACAGACTGTGCCTGTTTGAAATACACATGTACTGAATGGTTATGTTACACAAGTACGGATAACATTGTGCATGATATGCCATGACAGACTGCAACAGTACGAATCATCAGTACAGACTGTGCCTATTTGAAATACACATGTACTGAACGGGCATGTTACACAAGTACAAATAACATTGTGCATGATACGCCATTACAGACTACAACTGTATGAATCATCCGTACAGATTATGCCTATTCGAAATACACAAGTACTGAATGGTTATATTACACAAGTACGGATAACATTGTGCATGATATGCCATTACAGACTACAACTGTAAGAATCATCAGTACGGACTGTGCCTATTTGAAATACACATGTACTGAATGGTCATGTTACACAAGTACGGACAACATTGTGCATGATATGCCATTACAGACTACAACTGTATGAATCATCAGTACGGACTGTGCCTATTTGAAATACACATGTACTGAACGGGCATGTTAGACAAGTACAAATAACATTGTGCATGATACGCCATTACAGACTACAACTGTATGAATCATCAGTACATACTGAGCCTGTTTGAAATACACAAGTACTGAATGGTCATGTTCCACAAGTACAGATAACATTGTGCATGACACGCCATTACGGACTACAACTGTATGAATGATCAGTACAGACTGTGCCTGTTTGAAATACACATGTACTGAATGGGCATGTTACACAATTACGGACAACATTGTGCATGATACGCCATTACAGACTACAACTGTATGAATCACCGGTACAGACTGTGCCTGTTTGAAATACACAGTCTAGTACTGAATGGTCATGTTACACAAGTACAGATAACATTGTGCATGACACGCCATTACGGACTACAACTGTATGAATCACCGGTACAGACTGTGCCTGTTTGAAATACACATGTACTGAATGGTCATGTTACACAAGTACGGATAACATTGTGCATGACACGCCATTACGGACTACAACTGTATGAATCACCGGTACAGACTGTGCCTGTTTGAAATACACATGTACTGAATGGTCATGTTACACAAGTACAGATAACATTGTGCATGACACGCCATTACGGACTACAACTGTATGAATCACCGGTACAGACTGTGCCTGTTTGAATACACATGTACTGAATGGTCATGTTACACAAGTACGGATAACATTGTGCATGATACGCCATTACAGACTACAACTGTATGAATCATCAGTACAGACTGTGCCTGTTTGAAATACACATGTACTGAATGTTCATGTTACACAAGTACGGACAACATTGTGCATGATACGCCATTACAGACTGCAACTGTATGAATCATCAGTACAGACTGTGCCTGTTTTTAATACACATGTACTGAATGTTCATGTTACACAAGTACAGACAACATTGTGCATGATACGCCATTACAGACTACAACTGTATGAATCATCAGTACAGACTGTGCCTGTTTTTAATACACATGTACTGAATGTTCATGTTACACAAGTACAGATAACATTGTGCATGATACGCCATTACAGACTACAAATTTACATGGTATAGTATGATAGCTTATATTTTCGTTGAAAAATTATGCCAACACAAAAGGGAATTAGGCTAGAAAATACAACAATTTTGTTTATTTTATTCACACCACCACTGTGCACGACAAATAAACGCCGGTTTACTGCATTTGTCTTATATTTTGTGAACTTATTGCGTGCCAACTTCGATGTTCACACAGGTGTCTGTGTGTTCGACCTAACCTGAGAATCGTAAGCAGCTGCTTTAGCTGCCTAACATATCATGCCTGCTGGTAATATGAAATATGCGGCTATTTTACACACACTATGATGTAAGAATCTTTATTAGTATGCAAGCTGAAGTATTCTTTACCTCCGTATTATGAACTTTGTTGATAGTAATCGTGTATATTGGTGCTCGCAAATTTGGTGCACCATTTCATTAGAGTGAAGGTCCGAGACCCTATTATTTTTTTTTAGAAAAATTGTCTAGTATTTGATTTCAATTCAATGTTGACGGCGATTACAGCCATAAACAGATTGCTTTAATGTCAAAATTACAGCCCTAAACAGATTGTCCCATTTTCAGAGCCGGGTGGTAAGAAAGAGAGAGCAACTCACAAATATATATATATATGTCTCACACTACAAACAATTGTTTATTGGTCAATATTGATAATGTATACATTGAAATATCACGTTTAAACATGTAATTTACATATTAAGGTACTTACAAAATGTATAAAACAAAGCTGGGAAAAATGGATTCCCAAGATCACCGACTTTTCTTACACGCACGATATATTTATATATGTACAATAGAACACACTTCCACAGTACGCCCTCTATTGATGGGTCTCTTATTCGAACAAAAAAAACATTTCTGAGTTACGTTTGGTTGATACGATACAGTTTAATACATTTGACAAAGTAACCGATACAGAGTCACACTTATAGCCAAATTGGAATCGATGAATACAGAACAGGGGTTAACATGGCACCGTGACAAACTATACTTATCATGGAGGTTCTTGATTCTGTAACAAAAGAAATTATCTCGAAATTTGAGCTGCGCTTAACGTGTCGCCCCTCTGGTACAATGACAAACTAACAATATTAGCGACGGCGAATAAAAGGTGTTTGTTTGCATAGCAAAGTGACACTGGATAATAAACCCACATACTATATATTAAATAAACCGAGAACAAAATTCACACAAAACGTAATAGTATAGGCAGTTTGGTATGACACAAATGCTCAAACATATAACAGTCGGTATGTTTCCGTACTAATTGCCAATGTCAGACTGACAAAATAGGGCATTTTTAATGAAAAGTCAGCGGTTTTGGTAGGAGAATAGCCAAAGGTACAAATACAAAATCGTCAACGAATTGAGACAAGATCAATGATTGTCGACATACGTAAACTGAAACATACAATTATATAAATATCTAAGACAGGTATAGGTGTTACCTACAAACACGGTACAATATAACAATGGAATCGACACATATGGGTGTGAACAGGAAATAGTAGAACAAACTCGCGTATGAACACGAGATAGAACATAATCACATTGACACGGGCTTGTAGAACATATTCACGTGTGAACACATGATAGTCGAACTTAACCACATGTGCGGGAATGTTTAAAATACGTAACTCTCTTATATTACATTGTAAAAAAAAATATTATTTTAATAACATTTAAATTGGAATTGAGTCATCGCTCTCTACTTTTGTTTAGTATATGAACATCAAAATATAACAATCATCGAGAGGAATAACGTACACAAAGTACGACGAATTTAGAGATACCAATAATTAGGGTGAATCTTTATATGTACTCTACCATTTAAAAAGTAAAAAAAAATGTATCTTGGTCGTTTTGTTAAATACGTGCATAATAAATAGCTAACTTGGTCCAGCAAATTGCATTTTTACAACCGGGAGGTAATACTATAAGAGTGGTACTCTTTGGAGGTATTGCTTAGATAAGTTTAGACTAAAGTTGTGCTTTCAAGATTGTATCCTCATATCAAGCACTGAGTCCATGACGTAAACTCTACACCATCACAACCATCCTATCTAGACATGATCAATCTTGCACTGGCTGGAATCCAATTTGAAGTCGGCCACGTTGCCATTTATTTGTCCAACTCTGTCGTATGCTTCCCGGGCGGCACGTTGGTTGGGTGTTTTAGTGGCTTTCACGAGGCGCTGGGGATAAAAACATTCATTATTGTTAGTCAAAATTGCTAATTTGTATGATCTCTCAATCACCCATGTAAGCACCATAATGGCATATTGGAATTTTGTACAGTTCAAGATAAATCTTATCGAACAGAGACTAGAATTTAAAATATTCTATATATACAGTCAGGCATCCATAAGTGATTATAACAACAATAAACAGTATGTTTGTTTGAGCAGCCATCAGTAAAGACTAGCCTCAGGGCTCCAATATTTCAGGATTTGTTGCCATACCTACTAATTTTATCATTTTAATTGGATCACAATAATCAGCGGGATGTAGAAATACAGCTTTCATTACATAAGCTGTAATTGCGTCTTAGACAAATATTTGTATATAAACAAATTCGTTTAAAATATTGTTCATGGTGTATAGTTCGAAAGCGTTATTATTGTATATCATTAAGTATATCCAAAACATACCTCCTTCAACGTTCCTGGCGTTGTGATCAGAATATAGACCGCAAATATGGGTATGCATGACATAGATGATATGGCTAGCATCCATCCCACAGCGTTAGCCCAGGGCGGGTACACGTAGTCATCGTACGTTAGTGGTTTATACCCATACAACCCGAACGCAATATTAAACTGAAATACAAGAGTTCAAACTATTAAATTGGTGTTTTGTTGAGAATTTTGGAAACTTTTCTCGGTCTCAACGTTTAATGTTGTATTCATTTGCAGATTGCAATGCACTAGTATTGTATTCATTTGCAGATTGCAATGCACTAGTATTGTATTCATTTGCAGACTGCAATGCACTAGTATTGTATTCATTTGCAGATTGCAATGCACTAGTATTGTATTCATTTGCAGATTGCAATGCACTGGTATTGTATTCATTTGCAGATTGCAATGCACTGGTATTGTATTCATTTGGAGATAGCAATGCACTTGTGTTGTATTCATTTGCAGATTGTAATGCACTAGTGTGGTATT